CCCCAAAACCCCAAAACCCCAAAACCCCAAAACCCCAAAACCCCAAAACCCCTTTTGGGCTTAGTGAAATTGAATAATAAAATGGGGTGAAATCCATCATCAAAAGACCATTCAGGATATGCTAGGTCCATTCTCAAAAAGCCAAAATTATTGAAAATGATCGCAAAATTACAGAAGAAGCATAATAAAGGCAAGAACAGAGTGAGAGATGAGACCGAGTATACAGAAGAAGTATTCAGAATTGATTTTAGGCATTTATGGAATATAGAGCTACTTGAGAGCATTTCCGCTAAAAATAGACTAGAGCCAATTCCAACCTTAGCTCTTAGGTATCTTCCTGAATCTCAAGAGGCTGTTCCTGAGTTTCTTAATTCATGTATTGATGAAGTAGACCATCTGTTTATTAATAATTATGTTGAAAATGAGGTGAAGAAAAATAAGATACCAATTGAACCCTATATTTCTGCAATTTGTTCAGTTTGCCCTTCCGGTAATTACAAGCTTACTATAACCTCTAGTCAAGGAATCCCTTTGGATTGAGTACTTCACTCTCTCTATCAGAGATATTGCACAAATAATCAGGAAAGGATTTGGTATAGCAATGATCAGGTTTGAACAATGCTTAATAGATTTCTCCAATGCAAAAGAGCTTCCTAATGGGTAAAGCTTCAGAATTTAAATCCTTTAGAGACAAAGTCGTAACCTTCAACACTGAAAATGAACCAGCTACTCACTACCTGTGTTTCAAGGGGTGTAATATTACTGAAGAAAGTTTAAAGATAATTGCCAACTCCTGAAAGGAGTTGACTTCTCTTAAAACTCTTGATATTTCAAACACTGAATTCAGTGTACAAGAAGCAACAGATATTTTGGATAGTTGTGAACTTTCCTCTGTGAAAGTTGTCAAAATTTAGAAAATTTCAAAAATAAGATATTAAAGGCTTATTTGACAGAAATTTTTAATTGAAGATTGAAGAGTAAGAAAAGAAAATTTGGGGTTTTGGGGTTTTGGGGTTTTGGGGTTTTGGGGTTTTGGG